GCTCCTGGAAAGAGGCTTCCTAACGCTCACAGAGGTCTCGGACGAGGAAGACGACGAGCAACGCTGATCATGTAAGGATCCCGCTTAGCTTTAGGTGGTTGTTGCAGTGGGCCAGCCCTTGCAAGTTGAGTGTTTCAAAGTCTACTTACGCTTCAAGTGCTTCTGCAGTGGCTGGTAGGTGCTCTTTGTTGGCTGTGAAAACTCCAGGCATCAAGGAGCGTCAGTGGGGATCCCACGGTGTTTTAGGGGACTGCTTTGGGGGACAGTCGCATCGTTGAAAACAACACGCAGAGGCCGAGATCCTAGGATCACGCTGTTTTGGGGGACTGCTTTGGGGGACAGTCGCATCGTTGTGTGAAGAGCCAAGCACTCGCGGAAGCTTGGGCTTTTCAAGTGATCTGTGAGATCTGCTGTTTGCTTAGCCATGGCAGAGCCGCAGTTGGAGTCCACGACGATTCCTGATGCAAACAGCGCCCTGCGCACGGAGTTCGAAGACTGCTTGCAGGAGGTGCTCGCGCATCAGGTTTTTGACGGCATCCAGACGGAGATGCCCTTGGGAATCGGCAAAAACGCCACCGGCGGCGGGACACAGGCACGGGTTCCGAATGCGCCTGTGGGCATGTAGAAACTGTCTTGGGCATCACGTAGCTTTGTGGCACTTCCAGAGTTCGCATGTGCGCACGCAGCCGTGCAATATTAGTCTCCAGACTGCTGTGTAGCAATAGCTGTGTGCAGTTGAGCCCGGGTGGTGGGATGCATGGTTGGCCCTCCCCTGCGAATGTGCAGAGCACAGGCACAGAGTTACACTTGAGACACTCGCAATCGGGAAGCCCTCGTCTCATCAGCCAGGCATGCCCCCTCCTGATGAGATGAACGGGTTGGGCTCATCAGCCAGGGACGTCCCCACCTGATGAGAGACTGTGTGTTTGGGAGATGCAGCCGTAGTAAGATTTTGGACTCCCTGTTGGCAAGCGTCCTCCGGAAAAGGCCCGTGGAGCCATCAGGAGGGGAAGCCCCCAGCTGATGGCTCTAAGGGCTCGGTCAATGACCGTCCTTGATGAGTGGAGGGGTTGCGTTCCACCCTCCCGGCTGAGTAACCCGGGCTATGAGGCAGACCCCTTGTCCCCATCAGCCGGGGCAGTCCCCAGCTGATGGTGTGGTGGGTGTGGGGAGACAGGCCGTGCCATCAGTGCGACCGAGTACCAACACGGGAGAGCGGATGAGGGAGTTCTTTCGGATGAGGGTGTGAGGTCTCTGAGATTATGGTACGAGATTGTGCATGGCGCAGGCTGCTTTCGACCTCCCCACCTGCGACGATGCACTGGCCAGTCGCGGCCTTTACAAGGCAGCGGGGAACATCTTTTGGATGAACGTGCGGCGTATGAGTAATGCTTCGGTCCCAGTTTACAAGTCCAACATCACGAAGCTCATGACGGCTTTCTTCAGTACACCTGATTGCTTCCCCTACGATGTGCACGTGGCCTTGGATTTGAAGGCCAAAGGCGACGACATCCTGCGCAACCGGGGGTCCCTCCACCGGCTTTCGTGCGAGGAGGTTGAGATGGCCTACGTCATGAAGGTGGCTGAAAGAATCAGGGCTGGTGCCGAGAATGCCGAGCTGAGGCTGCTTGTCTGCTTGCTCCGTCTATAGTTACAGTTGTTTTGTGCCCTTGCTGTGCGCAGCGCAAATCCAAGGCTCTGGCGCCGCGTCGCGCTCACGGCGACCATGGTCTTCAGACGTGTCCCCGCAGCGTCCAGGTACATGCTGTCGGTGAATCTCCGCCGCCTTTTCTTCGTAGGGTACGAGGCGCTCACGCGCAGCACCCTAGCCCAGATGCTGCAGATCTTGGACTTCAAAATCGAGCGGGAGAAGTCGCACCCCACGCAGTCGTGTGTTGAAGTCGCGCAGTCATGGAACTCGCACTTGCGAGACATCGACAGCAACGTGGAGGAGACAGTGTCACCGAACTTCGTTGCGGCGGCGATCCGGGTGTTCAACAAGATGCTCCGCAGTCCAAGGTTGATGGAGCTCCTCGTCGCAGAGGAGAACGAGCGGGGAAAGGCGTCCCTCTTCAACAACTCCAGCACCCTAGATGCTTTCGCTAAGGCCGCCAAGGACGAGGAATCCAGCTACTGGCTTGTGAAGACGGTGTTGTACCGGCTAGCTTTGGGGGACTCGCCCAAAGACTACGGCCTCAAGAATCTGACAGGAAAAGGGACCGGTGCCAAGGGTGATCTGCAGCTTTGGTTGATGAAGCTGGACCTGCAGCGCTACTTCGAGAAGTGGATGTCATCGGAGCCATCACTGCGGAAGGAGGACATCAAGGCGGTCACGGACATCGACACGCACGACAAGTTCATGCTGCGGTGCGGGCCGGAGGCCAACATTTCTTGGCAGGGCACGCTATCCAAAGCTGGACGCCTGCTCCTCCAGTTTAAGGATCACGTCATTTTTGGAAGCCGGGTCGACGGGACTCTCAAACAGCTGCTCAAGGCCCACTCGGACGCAGCAAGCCTCTGCTCGAGCGGCGTGCTCAAGGAGCTTCTTGATGAAATCATCTCCGTCGCCAAGAGCGAAGTGCCGGAGCACCAGGTGAGAGCAGAGCGGGCACAGATGGAGGCCATGGCGGAGAAGGACGCCGAGCAGCAGCAGCTGGAGAGCAGCGTCAAGGAGTTCGCCACGATTTTCAATGTGGACAGCACGGTCAAGTTTGCAGATGACGAGTCCAGGGACCTGTACGACTACAAGAAGCTGGCGGACTCTCGGTCTCTAGCGTTGCTGCTGGTGTTCAGTCCTAACAACGCAACAGAAAAAAAAAACGCGCTGAGAGCAAAAACCAGGGAGCACTCTGGTAGCTTTCGGTGTTGGGCTTCGCTAAGGGCTATTGGTTTCACGTAGGCGGGTCCGCCCAGGAGAAGAAGGTGGATCAGTTCTTCAAGGCCATCCCGGAGCAAGCCAACGCGAAGGACCTGCAGAAGGCGCTCGAGGGCACGGTCGCCAGGGACTCGGATGGTGTGGGGGCCGGCTCCACAATCTGTCTGTGGTACGACTCCAAGTGCGCGGGCGAGGCATCCAGCCAACCGCATTGCCGAGTCCCAAAGTTCCGCCAGAGCCACTTCCGCACCTTCCTTCAGGGCTGCCTGGGCGTGCGAAAGCTGACAAACCTGGATCCCAGAATGATAGTCTGCCTCTCCGACGGATTTAGGCCTGGATTGGAGAACAGCGCCACAACGGCGTTCGTCTTGGAAGACGGGACCTCCGTGTCAAAGCATCGAACCCTCTTCCACAACATCTACGATGCTGCCTCCCTCTCAGCCAGGAAGACGGTCGTCCGCGGCGTCATCCAGAACGTTGAGGGACTCCATGTGTTCTCCGATGCACCAACGCCGCCAGTTGGGGAGGGCAGTCGAGCCCACTACACCGGGGACTGCTCGTCCAGTGGAATTGGGCCGATCAAGGTGCCCGGCTATGACACCGAGGAGTGCTGGAGGCCGGACCCGAAGCTGAAGGCCAAGTTTCTCGGGAGCGGTGGCAAGGTTCTCGTGTCGGGACCCGGGCCGGCTGAGCCTGGCCCAGCTTTCGCGGACAAGTGCATGCCCCTCAACTTCTACACCATGCCGCGACTCTACTACCGCGAGATCCTTCACAGCTTTCGAGTTGGCAGGGTGATCTGTGGCACGGAACTGGATGGAAACTTCCCCCTGGAGTGCATCCTTCATCAGGTGCCCGTTGTCGCCGTCTGCCTCACAACGGACCTAGCAGTGGACCTCCGGTCTCACCTCATCAACATGATCATGAAGGAGATGGCCAAGCCGAAGAGCAGTGCCTACCAGTCGGGTCTGTCGCTAGGCAAGCATTTACAGGGGGGAGGGGGGGAGGGAGTGCGGTGTGGGACACGTTCAATGCTTCTTGGGCAGTAATCCTGCAGGGTCAAGCTGATGAACAAGTACGTGGAGAAAACGGAGCCTCCTCCGGACGGTTCGGGCTCGCGTCGTGGCAAGGGAGGTCGTAAGGGACGTGGTGGCAAGGAAGGCCGTGGTGGCAAGGGAGGCCGCCGCGGTGGCCGCGGAAAAGGTTCCGAGGCTGAGCCAGTGGATGGAGCTACGGGGAGCGAGGAGAAGGGGAGCAGAAAGCGTCTTCGGGGAGCTCAGAACCTGGACATTCTGAAGAAGATCAAGCTTCTCCAGGGTCGCAAGGGCAAGGGCAAGGGCCAGGAGGAGACTGGCAACGTGGATGGGCAGGTGGATGCTGAGAGTATCGACTCGCAGGACGACTAGCGAGTGCAGCGGACTTTTGAATTCTGACGCATATGTCTCTCGCAGTCTTGAGCCTCACAGAATCCTTCAGGAACTAGACGAGCTGCGGGGTGCTGCAAGCATTAGAGTTCAGTTCACGCGCACAGCTGCGAGAGCGGTTGCATCGGGATAGGGAGAAACGATTTTGCGTTTTTACTGGAGACGCAACGAGGCCTTGGGGGGCTCTCAGGTCAGCAGGCACCGGCTCAGCATTGCATGTTAACATAGGAGTTCTGCTGTCCTACTAGAAAGACGAAATCTGTCAATGGACCTGTGGGTCGCCGTTCGGAGGCCAGGCTTGTCACCAGTGTCGGCGCCGACTAACCTTGTGTTCGATACGCACTGGAAAAGAAGACTCTCAGTTCATGAGTCTGAGTCTGAGTGCAGCCAGTTTTGTGCAATAGCTGCGCGTCGACTAGGAATTCCAACTCTGACAACCGCAGGCTCCTGCTGCTGGCAGGCCTCCGAGAGCACATGTTCCTGCAGTTTCGCCTGATTCATCAGTTTCATGCACATGCTCTAGGGCACTCTAGGTGAGGTCTGAGTCGGCGTGCATGCAATGCCTTGTCCGGTGCTGCTGGTTGAGTCGAAGCATGGGAGATAGTATCAGGACCCGGGCCCGCCGCCTGGTTAGGCGCTGGGAGACCTATGGATGGAATGTGAGGACATTCTACGAGCACCTGCAGCAGGAGCTTGTCCCAAGGATGCCTGAACCTCTGCGTGTCCCCAATCCGGCAAGGAAACTCACAGTAGGCAGCTGCTGCAGCGGGTGGTGCGCGGAGCTTTTCGCATGCGAGATGCTGTCACTGGACTTTCTGCCGGTCTTCGGATGTGACCTCCTGCCATCGGCGCAGGCAGTCTCCGAAGCCTTGTTCGATCACGAGTTTTGGTTCTGGGATTGCATGGAAGAAGACTTCCTGCAGGCTCCGCACGTGGATCTTTTTCTGGCGGGGCTACCCTGTCAACCCTGGTCGCGGCTGGGGCCCTCCAGAGGCTTTGAAGACGACCGGGGGCTGCTGATGCTGCCGGTAATCCGCTGGATGTCTGCACGGCGTCCGCAAGTAGCCATCTTCGAACAAGTGGGTAGCATGCTGACACGGCATCCCCGCGAGTTTGCACTCTTCCTGGAACTTCTACTGCAAATCAAGCATCGTGGGCGGCCGGCGTACATTGTCACGTATGAGACCCTGAATTGTCGCTTTCATGGCTACTTGCCGCAGAATCGAGAGAGGACCTTCGTGGTGTGCATTTGCAGGCAACATGCTGTTGCTGAGATGTCGTGGCCCGCACGAGCGCCTTGGCTTTTACTTGTGCATCGGCTGATCATGTGTAGAAGGTCTACATTTTTCTGCTGAGTTCCGGTCGTCAGGTCCCCGTGCTACGCTTGAGCAGTGTGATCGATGCTGACACGGAGCCTGCGCTTGAAGACTTCCCGGGACGGCTGCCCAGCAGTGCGACCTGCCGTCGCAATGTCATGGCCGTCTATGAGAAAATACTAGAAGAGGGTCGCGATCCCTTGGAGCAGGAGCTAGTCATCAACATGCACGGCTCGGAGCCGCACTGGAACGAAGGCTACTCCCCGTGCCTTACACAGGCCAGAGCAGCCGCTGGCGGCTTCTGGTTGTCCTGGCTCCAAAGGCAAATGACCAGCGCAGAAGTGTGCAGGCTCCAGGGCGTGGACATGTGCAGGATTCCGGCCGGCTTGGCAACCGAGCGCCAGATTAGGCAACTGGCAGGCAACAGCATCCCTATCCCGCTCCTGGCACGCGTGCTGCAAGCGGCGCTCGAAGCTGCCGGACTCGTGTAAAGTCGAGGACCTCCAGTGGAAAAAAAAAGATAGCTTGCAAGCGCCTTTCAGCTGGCGACAGAGTGACATTAGCAGCATAGCAATCATTAGCACCTACCCAACTCGCCAGGAAACTGCGGCCCATGTCTAGATCCACAGAAGCAGGGTCCTGAAGAGCAGATGCGAAGGGTCCAGCCTGTGTTTGCTTTTTGCCGGCTTTCTGTCGATAACGCAGTTCATGACATTAGCAGCATTATCATTAACAGCTAAGCACCCGGGGCGGTGGCAGGCGTTTTGTGGCCAAGACCAAGCCCGAGGCCAGCAAGGCTGTGTTTCAGATTTCAGGAACGTCAAGCCATTGCTTTGTAGCAGCCGAGCTTTGAGAGATAGTCACTCCGCATTTGCATGGTACATGCGACGGGCTGTCTCGTGAGAGATAGTCTTCTTGCATCCCAGTCGCTCCGAAATCTTTGTCGCCAGGTCCCGTACGCTGAGAAGGCCGTTGCCGTACTGCTGAAAGAGGCCACCCAGCTTTTTCCGAATCTGGCTTTTGCTCAGCTGCTTCTCTTCTAATATGGACCGTCTTCCATTCACCTTGACTGAGCCTTTCTGTGATCTTGGAAGATGCTGGCCCTTCTTGCTAGCGTCCACAGCTTTTCGCTTCTTTCGTGCCAAGCCATCTTGCAGGCGATGTACGAGCATGTCCCGCTCCAGCTGAACGTAGCCGAACAGCACGTGCCTCATGAAGCGCTGCGCGGGGTTGCCTGTGCTGTCTTCGAAGAGCATTGGAAGGTCTGCTGCAGTGATTTTGATCCCTGCCTCCGTGCACATCTCGTAGAACTCTTCTGCTGTGCTAGCAGTGCGGGCTACGGTGCGAGAGCCCTCTACAACGATGTTCTTGATCCCTTTCTTCTTGCACGTCCGTAGGAGCTGGCAAAAGACATGTCGTTGATTTTTCGGCAGCGAGCCGCTAACGACTTCCGCGACGCTGTCCACGACGTCCCATCGCATGCGGTTGCACACATCCTTGCACGCCTGTTGCTGCCGTGTCACACTCGCGCTGTGCTCGTTGGCCTTGGAAGACACCCTAGAGTAGATCACAGCCGGCTCCGCCCTGCCTTTCACCATGGCTGCAAGTGAGACTGCCTAAGGTCGAAGTTCTCTTTTCTCGAGGCCTGTCACCTAGTTTCTGATGTCAAGCTGGCGTGATTTTGGATTCCGTGCCGGGGCAAGCCTACCAAAGACTAGGTTGCTTGTTGAGTCCTCACTTGCTGCATCGCTCGTCGTTGTTGCAGCAGCGTCTCGAAAACAAGGCCCAATGTCTCGCAAACCTAAGTTTCCGAGACGGTATGTTTTGGGGACCCGACATCACGAAG